ATTGTGACGCAGTAAAAACTTGCAAACTTTTATAGATTTCAGCGGTTGCATTCACCAAAGAACGCGATAGACTTTCGATTTGAATGCATTCTTTTGAAAACGATTTAGCTTTGTTATTAAACAGTTTAAAGATCGAGTGGGTGAAGAAATGTTAAACGAAAAAGTGCCAGTTTTTTGCTTCTGAAATAACTTCTTTATGTTATGATTTTTTGCAGGTTCTACTCACTGTTGAAAAGGGATTCAAAGTGCCGATGTACAGTGTTTTATTTGTTTTTTTATGGCTATAGTTTGAAATTTGAACTAGTGATTTGAACGGTAGGATCAGGTATGTACCACGAATTGTTTTTTGGCCTGTTTCCTTCGTTAAGCGTCTCGATAGCTGTTTCTGAATTGTATTTCCTTTTCTGGATATTACTTTTTCTTGTTTTTGTCTTAAAAAGCCTTGCCTAAGACAAGTTCTGGCAATCTATATCACTTCCGTTAAAGAAAGTTTTTTATTAAAGTTCACCAACTTTTAAATTATGTAGCACAGTTTTCCGACACCTTACGGGTGGGGCATTGATCACAGCCACTTTTGGTTTTTGAGGAAGTATTCAAGCTTTTTAGCACATTAGTTCGCTGATTAGAATTTTTCAATATCTTTGTTTTTTAAAAATTAAGTGGTTTGTTATAATCGTTATATTGAAAATTCTTGCGTGCTTACAATTTTTAACATTATTTAGCCAATTTTAAAATTTATTTTTACTGTACACGACTTTTTGCAAGCAATACAGTTTCGATATGCGGAACTTTTTCATGTTATGATATTAACATTTCAATTTTAATTTCTACTTTCTTAGCCGTTACTGGACTCTTTCTAATCTATACAGTTAGGAGTAGATCAAGGAACCGTGACTGCAGCTTCACAGTTGCCATCTTACTTGCCTTTTAGGCTGCGATATCTGTCGATCGGTTAAATGCGAATTTTTTTGTGGAAAAGTGGCGCTAAATTTGATACACCACTGGCAGTTATAATCTTATACTTTATTGTCTGACTAAAGTGTTACTTATTCTTGGCAATATTCCAGAAATGCAATTTTTTGCTGTATTCAACTGTCTGTGGCATGACAGGGAAGTGCTGTTACAGAAAAGAAAGGTTCACCAGCAAGGGTAGGGCTAGAATATTTCACTGTAATGGAATTTAATTTTTTTTCTTGACGAAAAGATAAACAGCTTTTTTTTGGTTCTTTTTTGCTAAGTCATGGAAATTTTGTAAGATGAATTTATTTTCACACTAG